CTCTGTATCTGGATTTGTAACATCTGCCTCTGTTTGGCTCATGTAAGCTGCTTTGGAGGCTCTGGAAATGGAAAATGGGGATTTTTAGGGGTGGTTGGATCCTCTCTGTCCGGTCTGGGCATGGGGTGGCCATCCTCTGCCAGTGCTCCTGCACAAAAAAAGGTGCAGATGAGCAGGGTGGGTTAGAGAGCACACGGAGCCTGGGGACGTAATCTCAGAATAGTGTAGGTTGGAGAAGATCTCCAAGGTCCCCAAGGCCAACCCCAGCACACCCCACCATGCCCACTGCCCACATCCCTCAGTGCCACATCCCCATGGTTCTGGAACACCCCCGAGGATGGTGATCCCCTCTCTCTGGGCAGCTGCGCCACTGCATCACCACTCCTTCAGAGAACAAATTTTCCTAATATCCAACCTGGCCTCCCCTGGTGCAACATGAGGCCATTGCCTCTCATCCTACTGCTGATACCCAGGGGCAGAGGCCAACCACCACCTCACCACAACGTCCTGTCAAATCATTGGAGAGAGCCATGAGGTCTCAGAAGGTGGCAACCCTCCTCTTATCTCTTCTGCACCCAAATGAGTGGAAAAGTGGGAAAAGACCAAAGCAGTGGGGGAAGGAAAGGCACTGGGCAGCAAAGTTGGGAAAGCTTCCTCGATGAACACTGAATGGTTTTCATCCAGACCCAAAAAAGACACCAATCTGCTGGCTGGATTTCACACCACCTCCTCTTGGTCATCGACCAAGCTGCTGAGCTGACCCTGTATCCAGCCATGTCCGTAACAAACCACTTCTCAGCACGAGAAAGTGCCTCGTGCCTGGAGCTGCCTGGCTTTGTCTCATACAATCAAGGAAGCACAGAATCTCACGATGGAAGAGCTGCCCATGCCCAGAGCTGGGAGCAGCAATGCCCATAGGCCAAAGCTGGAATATCTCTGGCCGTGGTGCACCAATCCCTTTGGAAGGAGAGACACTGATGGCTTTGGAGGCTGATGATGAGGTGGCACCGTCATTAGGCAGGGGTGGGAGCAATGGAATGGAGCACAACATCCACATCCACATCCACATCCACATTCACATCCACAT